TCAACAAAATTTCCAGAATGTGGCCCGACCTAAACAGCGGGAACTCCAGATCCCCCAACCCTCAAGGTAGCCTTTACGTTTTTCCCTCCCCGGGGGCGGAGACATACCCACAATGGGTGTTAATTTTTGACACCCGAGAACTCCCACCCTAGTTTATATAGCAGGACATCGGTTACAAGTTCAAATGATCCTACACCACAACGTGTAAAAAATGCTGCGATTTTCCCATCCACGAAATTTTGAGTCTATCCCGAATGCCCAGCTGGGGTGCGATGACCATTCTAATACGTTTAAATCGATCCCCTTCCTTAACTGTATGAGGCTCACCCTTCGTACTCTCGCCGTTGTCGGCTTTTTAAACGAGCGGAAATCCGTTCCCTCAAAAAACGAAGGGTCCCCCTTATGCCAGGGCAGTTCTCATCCCCCGCCCCAAGGGAGCTCCCACGTGTTTCTTTTTCCCCGTGTTTAAAAAACGCCCCCCACTTTGGTTCCCATTTCTACACCCACCCTGTGGTTTCCCTCTCCCAAAAATTACCCCCTGATCTAATTTTTGTGCCCTCGGCTCAGAGTCCCTATTTAAACCCCCTCAGTTAATCTCGTTCTTCGATTTCCCTTTTTACAAGCCTCATATCGAGAGACCTCTACGACCCTCTTCCCAATCGCCCCTTACTTCTCAAAAGCAAAAAAAGGGCCCGGTAACCCCTTACCCATCTTACCTCCTCATTTTACCCTCCCTGTCTTGTCCCTAATTCTTTTTTCCCCCTTCAGGGGGCTCATTACAAGTGCAGAGTTTCACCCTCCTCCTCAAGTCCTTCCTCCCTTTTTTCCCTCCCAATTTTTTTCCCCCTTCTCCCAACCTCCCGGGTTCCTGTCTCTTCTGCCCCCTCCCAAACCTTCTCCAGTTCCCTCCCCCCTTTTTCCCCCCCCCCCCCCTTTTTGGAAAAACGGGCCAATACATTTCAATCTTTACTCATCCCCCCCTACCACCCCAATTTTTGCTCCAACGACATCCTAAATTTAAACACTTGAAGCAACTCTGAATATATTGCAAAACCAAAACCATAAAGGGACACTGATCCCCTTTCCGCTCTTCTCTCTCCTCTGCTCCATCTCGAAAACTCCTTTCCACAGCGCACCGTTTCCTTCGCTGCTTAACTTTTCCATCCTCCCATGTGGATTTTTTTTTTTTTCCCCTAAACCCCCTATCCGTAGGAACCCCTTACCTGCGGTTTTCAAGTTCTTTATCATTGCCATTCATGGCCTTTTTACAGTGGAAATCGGGGCCCCCTAGGGAAATCGGGTGATTTCGATGTTACTCTCCCGTTTGCCCCGTTGTTTTTGTTTAAAAACCAAAATTACACTCTCTTTTTTTCTCACATCTATATAATTTATTGTTTTCTTCAGACCCTTTTCCCCGATGGACTTTAAATGAAAGTCCCCTTTTCCCCCCCGCACTGTTTTCCCGTACCATCACTATTTGTTCATACTTCCTGCATTAAAAGCAGCCCTATCACTTACATAGGGGGTAACCTCGTTCTTTATATCTCTCTCCCCCCGGGCATTCTATTCGGTTTTCCCTTTCCTTTTTTGTCATTACCCCCCCCAATTTGTTTCTTTGATTTTTAAAAAAGCCCACCTTTCCCCTGGGGGGGGTCTCAATGGGGATTCCCCCGGGGAAATTCAGTTAGAGGCTTTTTTTGCACCCCCCCCCCTCCAGTTTTAAATACAGGTATCACACCCCCTTTTGATCCTGGGCTCATACTCTCTCTTGATGATCTCTCAGTTTACTCTTCCTCCCCCGCATTAGATTTACTTGGTTTTTCCCCCGGACCTTTCAACAGTGGGTCATTTCCCCAAACATTCTTACTTCCCCCCCATATTCGCCCCCCTTTTCGCACCCCACCTGGCAATTTAAACGGCAAATTGGGAAACCTTACTCACAAACCATGTTTTTAAAGAGGTTTTCCCTTTTGCCCCCATCGATGACTTTTACACCCCTTCTCCCTCCGTTTTCAAAACCCCAGCTTTTTCATTTTATACCCCAAACTTGAGCAGGCATTCTCAGAAATGCGTGCCTTGGTGGCTCCTGCCTTTTTGCCGTGCAGTACTTTGAAACACCTGCATGGGCAGGGACCGGGGTAAATAGAACCAAAGAGCACTCCCTTTATTTTAAACAGAAGGGGCGATCGCTCGCCGTGTCATCCGTGACGCAAAAAGCATTGTGGCGAATTATGTTTTCCCCCATCACCTTGCTTCCTCTAGATGCGTCTGGAAAAAAAAACGAAAAATGAGTGGTAAATTTTTTCTCCTGAGCTCCTGTTCTGCGGGGTTTCCCGGGTTGATTAGCAAACCCGAGTTGCCAATGAAATTGGGAATCTCTGGTCCGTATTTCTCAGGGCCCATTTTATGCCCCCCATTTTTTCCTCAAAAACTGCCCGGAGTTTGCACCCTTGGAATTTTTTCTCCAAAAGAACAATAAAAGTGCCTTTTACACTTTAAGAACTGAAACAACACTCTCAGTTGTCGATCATGGCAGCTGGGCCGCGACATTCTATTTGTATGTCAACATTTACATCCATCAGCCCTTGCAGTCCTATTACCCTTTTCAATCTTATTTGGTCAAAGGGGTTCTTTCCCAGCTGTGGAAAAACCCCATTGTTCTCCCCTTTCCCCCAAAGGCACCGGGGCATAAACCTCCCCCTATCGTCCCATTGCTCTTACCAGTGCAGTTTTCAAAGTAATGGAACGTCTAGAAAAAAAGACGTTTTTTGTGGTATTTTGAGACACACAACAGCTCTCCCCGCAATATGGGTTTTAAGGGACGTTCTCCAAGACCCCTTACGCGCTTGGATATATGTCTTAAAGCTTTGCGAATAACCACTCAGTTATTGCCATATTTTTTGACTTTGGGAAGGGATTGACACAACTTGGAGGAAAATTTTACCCAAAACCCCCCTCCCTTAGGTTCAGGCAATCACCTCCCTTTCCTTTAAAAACTTTTTAACGACAGGGATTTTCCCCCGGGTTTGGGTTAATAAAGTGCTCTCCCCCAAATTTTCCAAGCGGGTGTCCCCCAGGGATGTGTTCTAGACAACACTTTTTCTCCCTTTCTTTTAAGATTTTGGCCCCTTGTCTTTCCCTAATATTTGGGCATCACTTATTTGAGACTTCGTATTGCCTGTGCAGGGGCGACGTCACCTCCTACAGTTTCTCTCCCCAAAACAGTCGACCGTGTTTCCAATTGGGCCCCCCCATGGGTTTTAAAATTTTTCCCGCCTAAAAACCCCCCAAAACACTTTCATAGACCTCTTCATCTCTGTATCCTTTTTCCTCTAGGCTCACGTATCCCCGAAGTGTACAGTCAAGTTTCTGGGGCCCCCCTTTGATCTAGTTTTTCCTGGGAAACCCCACATTACCTCTCTGAAGGAATTGTCAAGCCGGCTGAATTTTTAAAACCCTTGTCATCTTTGTGGGGACGTCGTCGAAAACCCTCCTTACCACATTCCCCCCTTATTTTATCGAAAAATTTATTATGGTGACCCAAACATTCGCGGCATTCCCCGTCTCTCTCAGCCTTAACCCCATTTTCACCAAGGATTACGTTTAGCCTTGGTGCTTTTCGCTCTTCCCCTGTCGAAAGCCCCTATGAGAAGCAACGTTCCCTCCTTATCCGATCGCCGTGATGCCCTTGCCTGCGTACTATGTACGTCTCATGATCTCCGCAAAACCCTTCCCCTTTTTAGAATTTTCGATATTAGTAACATTCTTTATTTTTTTCCCGCCCCCGCTTTTCCCCTCCCTTCTCTCTTCCCTTCATTCGCTCTTGTCTTCTCTTCACTACCACCCTTTCTATTACATGAGATCACACTTTTCCCCACCCCCTGGGGGGTTCCACTGTTCGAGTCTTTTTTTTTTCTCCCCCCTTGCTCGAAAGCCCAACTGTTACGGTCGCTTCCCCCTCTCTTTTTCTTGACCACCTTTCACTCTCTTCTCATCCATTGCTGTGTACACAGATGGCTCTAATCTTCTGACGGGTGGATTCGCAGCAGTGTTTCCGGACAGCGTCGTACAAGGGGATTTACTATCTTAGCTGTATTTTTACTGCTGAATTATATGCCATCCTTACAGCCCTTATCCTATTTTCATCTAGCCTGTGTCATCATTTGTGGTTGTCTCAGCCCCTTAGGCTTTACAGGCTAACAAAAATTTTTATACACCCACCCCTTATCCTCCGTACCAACTTGGTACGCCGCATCTTTTCTAAGCATAAAGATATTTTTTTTTGTTGGGTCCCGGTCATGTTGACGTACGGCAAAGAAAAGGCAACACTGCGCGCGGTTTGCAGTACATGACCTCCGTTTTTTAGAGGTATTCCCTTACGGATATTTTGCTGTAATACTTCCCCCCTTCACACCCGTGGCAACAACGTTGGGCACTTGTCGGCAACAAATTCAGTCTATTAAACCGGTATAGTTACTGGCGCTTCTTATCACCAGGCGGGGTTTGGGGTTACCCCCGTCTTCGCATTGGCCATACTCTCTTCTCATGGATACTCATGGGAGGCGCTTGCTCCTCCTGGAAATTTCCCAAACTCCCCTTATCAGTCACCCCATTCTGTTGGGGTGCCCCTTTATCAACGGCACGCAAATTTTCCCCTGTCGTCGTTTCCCCCGCTGCTCTCTCTTTACCTTTCCCTTCTCGCTGATGGACCCACCTTTATCCGGGCTCTCATTGACTTTTTTGACAACGTGACTTACCCCAAAATTTGAACTTTCGCCCCTTTTCTTGTACTCTTTCTACCCTTACCCCCGTACTATCCCCCGCCCCGTTTTTTGTAACCTGCTGATCATTCCCCCCCCCCTTCTGCCATCCCAATTCCCTTTCTTTCCCTTTCCCCACCCCGCAGGGTGTATAGCCTTGGCTTTTGGCTTTTTTTGATTATAATAATAAAATATGAGTTTTGGGGGACTGGAACAAAGGGTTTGGGTAAAGTAGGCTCAAAGTGAGTGAAATCACCAATGCGTAAATATCGCCGAGACCGCTACCTTCTTGAGAGCGTAATTCCTAAGTTTTCTATCAAATTTCATACTTTTGTTGTCGTTACCAACAAGAAAAGATTCTCTATCATTTCATAACAAAAAATAATTTTTTTTAAATTCTTGACACGGAGCAAGTTTTTGAGCAGGGGTCTCGACAGTGAAAGGGTTAAAGGTGTGGACACCATACCACAGATACATATTCCAATTTTGATCAAACATACTGCTGTTTTTTTCTTTGTAATTTTTTCATTTATATACTGTATTTAAAGGGTATTTCAAATTTAGGCACTATTGCATAAGAATTTTTCATTGCTACATTTCTGTGTTTGACAGTGTCATGTTTGAGATAATGTGTGGTGTGAGTGGTATGCAAACAATAAGGGGTGTAAAAATTTGAAGATGGTATGGTAATATGACAGGTATAATTTAGAGAGCCAAGGAGGGCTTGAGATATTTAGGTCACTTGGAAAGACTAGAGAAAAATAGGCTGACCAAGAGGGTCTAACTATATTTCACAAAGTAAATTTGGGGATTTTGGGTTTCCTTTCATCCTATGTTTCCAGTTTGGCTTTTTCTTGAAGCTGCATTAGCACTTCATTGGTGAAATCCTCATCAAGAGACTCCAGTAACTACATCATACCTTTTGTCAACCCCTAAACTCCTTGATTGTTTTCTAGTCTTTTCCATAATTGTCGGAGTTAGAGAAGAAGTTTCTTTTCATCCTAGGACCTGGATGAGCTAATAAAACATTGATCTGTTGGTCAGATTAAGAATTTTTTTATTTTTCAGAAGGAATACAACTTTTTAATTGGCAGCCTCTGACTTGGCTGGGTGTGTAGTTCCCATTCATCTCCATTTATTTTGGTTTCTCAGCTGGTAAAGTCTGTCCTTATCTGTGCCTGTTGTGTGTTTCTTCAAGAACAAGAACTTTTACTTATTGCTTTTTGTTTTTGGCTAGGTGAGGGTTCCACATTAGTGTTACATATTCAAGGATTGGTTGCCAGTACATGAATTAGTCATCCAAGGTATTTTTCTTCGTTTCAGTCTTATATCTCTGGTCCTATTTCTTAAGTGCCCAACTTCATTACTTTGCACATAATTGTGGTTAGACTGTATTACCTGGAGTTTACCTGGAGAGAGTTCCGGGGGTCAACGCCCCCGCGGCCCGGTCTGTGACCAGGCCTCCTTAGGTCAGTGTCCCAGGATGCGACCCACACCAGTCGACTAACACCCAGGTACCCATTTTACTGATGGGGAACATAGACAACAGGTTGAAAGAAACACGTCCAATGTTTCTACTCTGGCTGGGAATCGAACCCAGGCCCTCGCCGTGTGAAGCGAGAGCGTTAACCACCAGGCCACCAGAGGAGTACTAATAGCTTCTTCAGTTGATCTTGTAGCATGTCTTGGTTCTACAGTTTACAACACATGGAAGTACCTAAGTGCCTCCTGTAGTTCCTACATGTGAGAGTACCTTCAGGATCTCTTGCAGTTCCCTACATGTGAGAGTACCTTCAAGTTCTGTAGTTTCCTACATGTGCAAGTACCTTCAGGTTCTATAGTTTCCTACATGTGTGAGTACCTTCAGGTTCTATAGTTTCCTACATGTGAGAGCACCTTCAGGGTCTGCTGTAGTTTCCTACATGTCAGAGTACCTACAGGGTCTGCTGTAGTTTCCTACACGTGAGGAGTACCTCCTCCTCATTCTGCGGTTTTATGAGTGAGTGAGAATTTAATAGGATTTTTAATTTTTCCCTTAAAATATAATGACTACAGTACAGGATTTTCTCAGGATGGCTTTAAGTAAAGTTACTGATTCTCCTCATGTTGTCAGTCTGTTTGACTTCATGATTTCCTGTAATAGTATTATCCACCAGTAGCACTCTCCAATGATGGAATCTTAAACTTAGGAAAATAATTAGCCAAATTTTGTACAGTATCTGAATCTTAATATAACACATGTATTTAGTAATGCCTATATGATGGAACCTCGTTTTTCTGCCGTAATCTGTTCCAGAAGGTCGGCCTAAATTTGAAGCAGTATTTCCCATAAGAATTAATGTAAATACAATTGATCCATTCCAGACACCCAAAAATATTAACAAAAAAAAATTTTTTTAAAGATTAATTATATGTAAAGTAAAAGGACACAAGTGCAACTAATGTGACATTTTTATTGTAGCAATGTTTTGCTCTCCAGGAGCTTTGTCAAGCTGTTATGGCTTGACAAAGCTCCTGGAGAGTGAAACGTTGCCACAATAAAAATGTCACATTAGTTGCACTTGTGTCCTTTTACTTTACATAATGTCGGTAATTCTACCAACATTACAAAGATAAATTATAATTTTACATACACAAAACAATGAGAACTAAATAAAATAAGTAAATGAATATTTAAATCACTATTACACATCTTTATTGAAGACTCTTGTTGGCTAATGGAGGGAGGGAGGACTGATTATTGTTTGGAAGGGGAATCCCCCCTCCATAAGGACTTAAGGTATCAAAGCCCTGTCTGGGATTACTTCCCTGCCTGACTGCTACACTCCCTTCCACACTCCCTGCATGCCTGCTACACTCCCTGCATGCCTGCTACACTCCTTCCTTGCCTGCTACACTCCCTGCATCCCTTCCACACAGTTTTCATGCTACACTCCCTCCCTTCATGCTACACTTCCTACCTGCCTGGTACACACCCTGCCTCCCTTCCACATTCCCTGTTTCCATGCTACACTCCCTGCCTGCCTGCAACACACACTGCTCATGGTGGCTTATTTCACAGTCACACTTAATAAACAAGCCACATCAGCTTCCTTGATTTATTCTTTCTTTGCCAGGATAGAAGTGATTGTTGATTTTTCTCTGCCATACATTCTGGCAAGTTCCAGCACCTGAACACCACTCTTATATTTTTCTATTACTTCTTAAATTCCATCGTGTTTCTTGCGTTCTTTAACAAAGAAACTTTACTAGGAACTTTCTTGGGGCCCATGGTGACTTATTTCACAGTCACATTTAATAAAAAAAACACCAAAAACAATGGATTTTAAGGAAATGTTTAGATGAATGCACAGAGTATATGCTCACTCGCCGACAGACAAAGAGAGACTGACTCGCCTACGGGCTGACACATCTAATACAGCTGACACATGAGGCAATGGCTGAAATACGGAGCAAAATTTCCGCCGAAAAACTGGCCTAAATACGAATCAGCCGATAAACGCAGCAGCCAGAAAATGAGGTTCCACTGTACTTTAATTCTGAAACATACTGCATAATAGAAAATAATTAATGTATATAGCCTAATGTTAATACTTTATTAATCTTAAATTTTGTAAAGTGTCAGTCACTGGCAGTCCCACAAATATTTGTTAATAATAATAATAATTAATAATACGATACTACAGAAATTTTTTAAATATAAATTGCATTGATAAGTAGAATTGTGTATGAAAAACAGAACTGCATGTTCCTAGTAAATACTGAGATTTATATTTTGTAACAAAAACATGGTCCCCAGTTCCAAATATCTCAAAATGTTTTATGAATAACATTTCTAATATGTATTAGAGAAGTGACTGTGCTTGTGCAAGGGTGTACATAGTGCTGTAATTTATTTTGCACAAACTTGCCTCCATCCCTGCTATATTTTCATAATGATTTACATATTTATTGGTATGTATCTTCAAAGTCCTCAAGGTTATCCATGAGATATTTGAGCCAAAAACTAAAAATTAATATATTCATTAGTTTGTTAAACACAAGTGCTTTGATAACATACAAGTACCAGATAGTTACTGTTATAGAACTCTTTACCCAAAATAACTCATAAGTGGACAAATAATTAGTGAATACATTTTATTTTCAGTATTTAGGTTGTAGTATAGTTTACAGAGGTGATGCATTATGATTTTAATATTTTTACTTTTTATAATTGCTGTTTTTCTATCTTAGATTCTTGAAAATGCACCAAACCATTCCATGCAAATGCCAACAACAAATTTGCATTATATAGGGAAACTTCATACTATCTACCATTGTTCCCTACTTGTGCACATTATTTTGTTCCTGTCTGTGATATTTTGGTGTAATTCAGTGACCAGATATATAGCCAGAAAATTGAAACTTATTGTCACTGTCCCTTGTTTAGTGTCGAGGGTGCCCCATGCTCAGTGTTATCAGCAATGAGCATTGCTGTTTTAAGAGATGGAGGCATGCTATTCAGGGAAGTAAAAAATAAATAAATAAAAGTCAGTATTGTGTTTTAATACTGTAATAGATCTTTGCCTTTTTGAAAGTAAAACTGGAAGATTTTGGAGTCTTGATAAGAACATAAGAACGAAGGAACACTGCAGCAGGCCTACTGGCCCATGCGAGGCAGGTCCAAGTCTCCTACCGGTCACATTGACTTAAGGGAGGAACACGGCAACCGACCTGGTAGCACAAGCTGTCAGGTCCAACTCACACCCACCCACATCCACTCATGTACTTATCCAACCTATTTTTAAAGCTACACAACGTTCTGGCCTCTATAACTATACTTGGGAGTTTGTTCCACTCATCCACAACTCTATTACCAAACCAGTACTTTCCTATATCCTTCCTGAATCTGAATTTTTCCAACTTAAAACCATTGCTGCGAGTCCTGTCTAAGCTAGATATTTTCAGCACACTATTTACATCCCCTTTATTTATTCCTGTCTTCCATTTATACACCTCAATCATATCCTCCCTAATTCTACGTCTTTCTAGAGAGTGCAGATTCAGGGCTCTTAGTCTATCCTCATAGGGAAGGTTTCTGATACATGGGATCAACTTTGTCATCCTCCTTTGTACATTTTCCAGAGAATTTATATCCATTCTGTAATACGGTGACCAAAACTGTGCAGCATAATCTAAATGAGGCCTAACCAAGGATGTATAGAGTTGAAGAACAACCTGAGGACTCCTATTATTTATGCTTCTTGATATGAAGCCAAGGATTCTATTAGCTTTATTGTGAACACTTATGTACTGTTGTCTTGGTTTCAGATTATTGCTAACCAGAACTCCTAAATCTTTTTCGCAATCTGTAATATTAAGATCTACATTATTTAGTTTATATGTGGCATGGTTATTGTCCTGTCCAACATTGAGAACTTTGCATTTGTCTATATGAAACTGCATCTGCCACTTCTCCGACCACTGCATCAGTCTATTCAAATCTTCCTGGAGTGCTCTAATGTCCTCGTCAGAATGAATTCGACGGCCTATTTTGGTGTCATCGGCAAACTTGCTGATGTCGCTCTTTATGCCCTCATCTATGTCGTTTGTGTAGATTGTGAACAGCAGGGGGCCCTGTGGAACACCGCTTGTGATGCTTCCCCACTCTGATTTCTCCCCATTTATGCAAACTCTCTGCTGCCTATTTGTCAACCATGCCTCTATCCAGGAAAAAAATTTCTCCTATTCCATGTGCCTTAATTTTCCTCAATAGTCTCTGATGTGGGACCCTGTCAAAAGCCTTACTGAAGTCCATATACACAATATCATATTCATTACCATGATCTACCTCCTCAAATCCCCTCAAGGAAGGTTCCTTGATGTTGGTGAGGGGCTCTTGATTTAGGGAATTGGATCTGTGCTCCAGTTCCCCAAATTAAGCCTGAATGCCTTCCACATCCCCCCCCAGGCGCTGTATAATCCTCCGGGTTTAGCGCTTTCCCCTTGATTATAATAATAATAATAATACCTCCTCAAATACCTTAGTGAAAAAAGTTAATAAATTCGTAAGGCAGGAACGCCCCTTTGTAAAACCATGCCGAGATTCGTTGATTAATTTATGCTTTTCAAGGTGGCTACGAACTGCCTCGGCAATTATTGATTCCATAAATTTTCCCACTATGGAGGTTGGGCTTATTGGTCTATAGTTCGAAGCTAAGGACCTGTCACCCGTTTTGAAAATAGGTATCACATTTACCATTTTCCACTTATCTGGCACCATGCCAGTTTGTAGTGATATGTTGAAAAGATTAGCCAAAGGTTTGCTAAGCTCCTCTTTACATTCCTTTAGAACCCTTGCATACAGTTCATCAGGGCCTGGGGATTTGTTAGGTTTTAATTTATCTATTTGCCTAAGGACCATGTCACTTGTGACCCTAATCGTGCACAGTTTATTATCGTCCTGTTCTACATAATTTATCATTTCTGGAATATCGCTGGTATCCTCCTGTGTAAAAACTGAGAGGAAGTATGTGTTAAAAATTCTACACATTTCCTTATCACTGTCAGTGAGCTGACCCGAGGAACTTTTGAGTGGGCCTATCTTGTCCCTGATCTTACTTCTGTATACCATTTTGACTGTTACAGGCCTCAAATCAAAATTGAGGCCTACCTGACAGCTTTCCAGATAGGCCAATGCTGCCGAGAATGTTTGATATTGTAGCATTTTACAAGAGAATATGTAATAATGAGCACAATGCTCATTCTATTAAATTATTTTAATGCTGCACAAAAACTAAGTTGTAGCATAAAAGTAAATGACTAATAGTAAAGTGACAGATATTACTATTGATATGGGTATTAGTTTATCCCTTTAGGAGACAGAAAGCCTATGAATAGTTTAGCAGTGTTGCCTTAGACAAAGACAAGATTGTGTGTGTGTGGTCACTGTCCAAATAAACTGGTGCTATAATTAAGTACTTCCCCATAAATATTACAATAACAAGTCATCTTAACAGTGATACACATTTTTCACATCATATCTGTTTTACAACGACGTCATTCAAGCCTCTCCATCTACGCCTCTAGTACTTCGGTACCACATTTCCCAAAGTGGTTGGGCCACTTGCCTTGATTCCTCCTCTTCCCCTCCTTCCCATCCTTTTCCAGTTCTTTCCATCCTTCCTTATCCTTCTTCCTTCCCATCTCATGACAGCTCTCGTCGTCTTCTTCGATTCGATTCGATCTGTTTTACAGTGTTATAACTGTATGGAGAATAACGAAAGTATATATTAAAAGGAAAGTTAAATTTTGGCCATTACTTCAAATGATTTAAAAAGAAAAATAAAGCTTGTTAACAATAAAGCTTCAGTAATTTATAATTATAATTATAGTCATGGGGGACCTAGGTACGTAGTAGGTTGGTAGACAGCAACCGCCCAGGGAGGTACTACCGTCCTGCCAAGTGAGTGTAAAACAAAAGCCTGTAATTGTTTTACATGATGGTAGGATTGCTGGTGTCCATTTTTCTGTCTCACAAACATGCAAGGTTTCAGGTACGTCTTGCTACTTCTACTTACACTTAGGTCACACTACACATACATGTACAAACATTTACACCTACCATCCAACTTACCTGCTCGACATATGACCACCCGCCTTACAACCGTGTTTTTTATGCCAAATTTCTGGGAAATAAACAACTGTTTGTGTTGTACACAGTGTTTATCCTAAACCTTACAGTATAAAATACAGTACTAACAGCATAAAACGTAAAGTAAAACGTGATATACCAAAACAAAACAATAAAATGAAGTCATTACAAAAATGTGATGTTGATATTCAGTAGTAAAGTTCGACTTACGTCCATTTTGACTTATGACCGGTTTCTCAGAACCGAACTCAGTTGTAAGTCGGATGGTAAGTGTGTATATACACACCCCTCTGGGTTTTCTTCTATTTTCTTTCTAGTTCTTCTTGTTTATTTCCTCTTATCTCCATGGGGAAGTGGAACAGAATTCTTCCTCCGTAAGCCATGCGTGTTGTAAGAGGCGACTAAAATGCCGGGAGCAAGGGGCTAGTAACCCCTTCTCCCGTATAAATTACTAAATTTAAAAAGAGAAATTTGAGTTTTTCTTTTTGAGCCACCCTGCCTTGGTGGGATACGGCCGGTTTGTTGTTGAAAATTATAATCATGGAGGACCTAGGTAGTAGGTTGGTAAACAGCAACCGCCCAGGGAGATACAACCGTCCTGCCAAGTGAGTGTAAAACGAAAGCCTGTAATTGTTTTACATGATGGAAGGATTGCTGGTGTCCATTTTTCTGTCTCATAAACATGCAAGGTTTCAGGTACGTCTTGCTACTTCTACTTACACTTAGGTCACACTACACACACATGTACAAGCATATATATATACACACCCCTCTGGGTTTTCTTCTGTTTTCTTACTAATTCTTGTTTATTTCCTCTTATCTCCATGGGGAAGTGTAACAGAATTCTTCCTTCATAAGCTATGCGTGTCGTAAGAGGCAACTAAAATACCAGGAGCAAGGGGCTAGTAACCCCTTCTCCTGTATAAATTACTAAATTTAAAAAAAAGAAACTTTCGTTTTTCTTTTTGGGCCACCCTGCCTTGGTGGGATACAGCCGGTTTGTTAAAAAAAAAAATCATGGGGGTGCTAAACCCATAGGATTATACAGCACATGCAGGGGGGATGGAAGGTATTCAGGCTCAATTCAGGGAACCGGAGCACAGATCCAAATCCCTAGATCAAGAGCCCCTCACCAACGTCAAGGAACCTCCCTTGAGGGGTAAAGCTTCAGTAAATAAGCTGAACGAGTGTTCCTAACTGGTGATACACAAGAGCTATGTAGATAGTATAAGGTATTAGTTGTATTGTTTAGAAACTAGTTATGCAATTCCAATAAACATTTCTAAAGTGGTAAAATTTCCTAAATGATAGGTTTATTATTCAGTTTTTAGTTCAAGGCTGTTTAGTCAGTGGATCTGGTAAGCCTAATTGCTACATAAGATAATAAAAAAATTATATTTCAGAAAAAAAAATTGCCCTTCTTTATGCTGAAGAATGAGGAAAGCTTCAACTCTTGATCTCAGTTTGATCTGTCAGGTTTTACAAGACAGTTTGCAATATAATTGGTTTTCTTGCATCTAGCTGATGTTTTTGTTGCTATCTGCTGGCCCTTGTCCCAATACCTTTTAAAATGAAAATGCATTTCTTGTGCATTCTGATGTTCCACACACTAAATTTTATGTAAAAACTCCACTACATTACACTGAAATGTGCTGTATAGCCCTTCTGGCTTAGCGCTTCTTTTTGATTATAATAATAATAATAATAATAATACACTGAAATGTATTGTATAAAACAGAGACCTGTGTGTTACCTAACTGCTGTCAGTTGCATCCACGGAAAAATTGCTATGCAAAGATATTAAAAGCTCCAGTTCTGGTGGAAGTCAAATCCTCCATAAAATGCAAGTGTTGGATAGAAGGTACCTGTGTATCTAATATTATTGAAGTAAAAAAGGACATTAAACAATTTCATGATTGGCAATAAATAAGAAAATTTAGCTACTTTACTCTTCGGATAAACCCACTACCTTCCATTTCCCAGGGAAATACATAACTCTGGGATTCACTGCTTCTCTATGAGCAGCTGTATGACCCTTGTGGGTTTAGCACTTTGTTATGATTATAATAATTCCCGATGAGCACAATGTACAGGAAAATGTATTAAGTACAGTGGACCCCCGCATAACGATATTAATCCGTTCCTGAGAGCTCATTGTTATGCGAAATTATCGTTATGCGAATGAATTTTCCCCATAAGAAATAATGGAAATCAAATTAATCCGTGCAAGACACCCAAAAGTATGAAAAAAAATTTTTTACCACATGAAATATATATTTTCCTACACACAAAGAGAAGGATACATGCACAATAGTAGAGTAGTACATGCACAATATATATTGTGCATGTACTACTCTACTAAATGAAGAATAAATGACACTTACCTTTATTGAAGATGCAGCAATGACTGATGAGACACTGTGTCCTGGGAGTGCCTTTTCCTCCTGAGTACTGTAGGTCCTGTTTGGCATTTTCTTCCAGAACAGGCCTTATCACACTGTGTATGCCACTACGATTCTTAAATCTCTCAAACCAACCTTTGCTGGCTTTAAATTCACCAATATGAGTACTAGTTCCAGGCATTTTTCCCTGTTCACCTGGGTGTTAGTCGACTGGTGTGGGTTGCATCCTGGGAGACAAGATTAAGGACCTCAATGGAAATAAGTTAGACAGTCTTCGATGACACTGACTTTTTTGGGTTATCCTGGGTGGCTAACCATCTGGGGTTAATTGTTTCTTGGTATTCTCAATAAGCCACACCAACAACGGTGCTACAGCAGCAGCAGCAGCTGACAGTGCTACAGCAGCAGCAGCTGACAGTGCTACAGCAGCAGCTGACAGTGCTACAGCAGCAGCAGACGGTGCTACAGCAGCAGCAGACGGTACTACAGCAGCAGCAGCAGCTGACGGTGGTACAGCAGCTGACGGTGCTACAGCAGCAGCAGCAGCTGATAGTGCTACAGCAGCAGCAGCAGCATCAGCAGTTGACCATGGTACCACAGTATTTCGATAATATTTCTCACCCTTTTTACCACAGGGTTGGCACTAGAAGCTTTCTTGGGGCCCATGGTCACTTATTTTGCAGATAAAATCACCAAAAACACTGTAATAATACGAAATATTCCGATTGTATGCTTGGATGTTACCGCGAAGGCTGGCTTGTAAACAATGCCACCGGCGGAGCATGTGAGGCTGGCTCAGGCCGCACATTAGACGCGTCTCGGACGAATAGCGTTGAGCGGGTTTTTTAGCGGTATGCGAGGCAAAATCTTAGCGATAAAATGTATCGGTATGCGGATTTAACGTTATGTGATGCCAACGGTATGTGGGGGTCCACTGTATAATAAACACGCTACGTAACATATAAACACGATACATACACCCACAGTATAAAAATGGACATAAATGTGAGATGTTTACCAAGCTGTTTGTAGGAATGTCAGAAGAATTACGTTTTTTCTAATCAAACACCAATTACTTAACTGTAGAAAAATATTCCTTGCGTATGCCTTCACTCTATCTATTGCTATTCATGATTCTTGTGGGTTTAGCATTTCTTTTTATTATGATTAAAATAATAATAATTTGTAATTATTATTATTATTATAATAAAAAAGAAGCGCTAAGCCACAGGGGCTATACAGCAATAATTTGTAATAATTTTTAATACAATAACTTGTCACAGCATCATTCCTTCTAAAAATGATGTTACATGAGAATGGAAGAGTTGGTCTTTATTTATTGTACTGTACCACTGTGGAGACAACTTGTACACAATGTAAGGTGTGTGTATGAACGTGTATCAACAATAACCAGACGTGTTTGTTTACATGAGTACTCTGCGGCTCTGGTATCTTACTCGTTCTCTCTCTCTCTCTCGCTTGCTCACCTCTCGCCCTACATTAAGACTACAAATATTTTAAGGTAAGTAATGAGTGTATTGTATATGCATTTTATCACTCTAGGGTGCTTTAAATGTCATAGTAGGTGGGGTGGCCAGGCGGTCTACCATACCTCACACAACTTTCTACAAATAAATACTTTTCACCTCTCGCCCTAAATTAAGATCATTAAGACTACAAATATTTTAAGGTAAGTAATGAGTGTACTGTGTGTGTATTTCACTTTTTATTGTTTTTTAATGCCTTGTTCTATTGTTAACTTAATATATGTTAGTGTAAACTTGTTATCTGGCACTTATATGCATTTATAAGTGGAAAAAAAAAAGGCGTTCTGCTTTCCAGCGATGTCTGCTTTGTGGTAGTAGCCTGGAACCTAACCTGCTGTATAAGTGAGGCCCTACTGTATACAAAGTTATTTATTTCCTCTTTGCTTTGCATGTTATTATAATTAAAAAGAAGCGCTAAACCCACTAGGGTCATACAGCTGCTTTGCATATTAATACAAGATTAAATTTCAGGAGTGCTTATTCTCGTCTGGCAACAAACAAGATGATGGTTTATAGGGATTATTGGTAGTATTAGGAAAGACTGACTAGAAGTCAGCAAGAAAAAAGTACTACATTATTCAAGCCTAATGAAGCATGTGGTACAACATACAAGTACGTAAAAAATTATTTTTAAATTTGGAATGCATGTTCCTAGTCCTTTGATAGATTTTAATGCATGCTAATGCTGTATTTTAAAGTAGAGTGTATATCAAGCTATTGATCCATACAGGTTTAGTGTACTATTCTATAATATAAATTACCTTGACATACTTCAGAATTTGTGATGGGATTCAGGGAAACTGGTTAGCTGGACTCGAGTTCTGGAAATGGGAAGTACAATGCCTGCACTTTAAAGGATGGGTTTGGGATATTGGCAGTTTGGAGGGACATTTAAACTGTCATATCTGAGTGCCTATGCAAAGACAGTGATTATGTTTGAGTGATGGTGAAAGTGTTGAATGATGAAAGTTTTTTCTTTCCTTTTGGGTCACCCTGCCTCAGTGGGAAGCAGCTGACATGTTTAAAAAAAAAAAAAAAAAACTTCAGAATTTTAATTTTAATGCCAATTGTAATACAAGTGCAACACTGATTTTCCAGCACCCTTGGTTCCTATGATTTGCTGGTACAGGCAGGCCCCACTTTACAGCACTTCACTTTACAGTATTTTGCTAATGCAGCATTTTTTTCAATTATACCTATTTTTTATTTGTTCAGACTTCCTCCAATAATTATATTTATCACTTGCTATAGGCTAAGGACAAAAATATTTTAAGGTAAGTAATGTGTGTACTGTATATGCATTTTTTAGGCCTAGCTCTATTGCTTACTTAACCCTTTCAGGGTTTCCGATGTACTAGTACGGCTTACGCACCAGGGTTATTGACGTACTACAACGCCTAAATTCTAGCGCCTCCAAATCTAGCGAGAGAAAGCTGGTAGGCCTACATATGAAAGAATGGGTCTATGTGGTCAGTGTGCAAAGTATAAAAAAAATCCTGCAGCACACAGTGCATAATGAGAAAAAAAAAAACTCTGACCATGTTTTTGGATTAAAACAACGACTTTGCCCTGTATTTTCTTATGGTATTTATGGTTGTATTCTAGTTTTCCTGGTCTCATTTTATAGAATGGAAGACATATTACAGAAATTCAGATGATTTTGATTGGTTTCACAATGAAAAGTGCAAAATTTAACAGAAAAGTTAAATTTTTACCAAAGTTCAAAAGTGAACAAATCATGCCAAGCATCCCAATACACATCAACTGGTGAGGCTAATATTCTTTCACAAGTACGCTGATATTATTTATACCATTTCTACACTAATGCAGTAGTCTGCATTACAGTAAATCTTTTATTTTTTGTGAGAATAAAAATTCAAAGTGGAAAGCAAAAGAAATGTAAGAGGGGCCCGGGGACGTGACTAACGAACAGAGAACTTGTTATTTTAGTACCAGGAATGTCTGTCTTGTTTATTCTGGACCCTATTTGGAAATTTGCATCTTCTGAAATTGGCAAAATTGCCAGTTTCTAACCACTTTATTGGATAGATGAAATTGGTAAATGGGTGGTTTCTTGTACTCATTCGATAGAAAAACTGGGGTTCTAGTGAAATAAATATGATTTTTGTCGACTCGTACAGAGGAATTGGCCGAAAATAGGGCTCAAAGTGGGCGAAATCGCTGATGCGTAAACATCATCGAGACCGCTAACTTCACGAGAGCATAATTCCGTAAGTTTTCCATCAAATTTCATATTTTTGGTGTCATTATGATCGGGAAAAGATTCTCTATCATTTCACACTAAAAAAAATATATTTCCGGAAAATTTTTGACCCTGAGAAAGAGTTTAGGAGAGGGCCTCTCGACCCTGAAAGGGTTAATATATGATAGTGTAAAAACGTTATAATGATTTTATACACTTTTGAAAGTGAAAAAAAGGCTATTCCACTTTACAGCAGCAGCCCAGAGCCTAACCTGCTGTATAAGCAGGACCTGCCTGCATATCGATTTTGCTAGACCAACAGAGGTCATGTTAGGTAAAAGGACACAAGTGCAAGTAATGTGACATTTTATTGTGGCAACGTTTCGCTCTCCAGGAGCTTTATAAAGCCGTACGACTTGATAAAGTTCCTGGAGAGCGAAACATTGCCACAATAAAATGTCACATTAGTTGCACTTCTGTCCGTTTACCTAACATCTTGTCTGTAATTCTACCAACATTAATACAACAGAGGTCATATAATAATTAAACAATACCCTTATGACCCTCCATTTTCTACTGGAAAGTCAAATAGAACATCATAAACAAAACAGGTTTATTACTGTAGTACTTACCAAGAGTGCTGCAGTACTACCACTCATAAAGTGGTAAATTTTAGAATTTTAATGGAACTATAGAACTAATCACAAGGGTTAGTTGTTAGCAAAATATGCGAAGAATTACATAAAATCAAGGGATCATCACCATCACCAATGACGTTAGTGTAAACAATATAAGCAAGCACATATTTCATACAGTAAATTATTTTGGCAAAACAAAAAAAAAAAAAAAATAGTCTTGTAATTTTGTCTGGATGAAAGTGCCAGACGATTCATTACCGGTAAACAGATGTTGTACCTGTATCCACAATGGCTAGTCTTGGATTAGCCTTGCACAGTATAAGTTTGTTTACAGAAGTTAATTAGACCAGTGTTTATATGTATACATACATTTATGAACAGTACATATTATAAAAATAATTTACACTTCAGTAAATACAGTACAACTCTCCTCACTTAACGATGGAGTTCCGTTCCTAAGACCATGTCAGTCAACAAATTCGTCACTAAGTGAGAATCATACTATAATGGTAGTGGGTTTGTGTCAACCATGTTTGATATTGTTTTAATGACACCTTTGCACCATTTATAACATTTCTGGTATATTCTTGAATGTTTATACAGTAGTGTACTGTATATTGTAATAAACAGAATAGAGGAAATCAGCTCTAATATACATTATTTAGGTATGCATACTGGTCAGAGAACCTGTCGTAAGTCCGTGGCATCAGTAAACGAGTACGTTGCTATATGAGGAGAGGCTGTATTGTACTTTCACTTTTTCAAATAGTTTTCTTAGTGAGGATTACTAGCTTAGAAAATTACAGAATAAAAGGTGTATTAGCTTAGAATAAGAAGATATTTGTTTTAAAAATATATACATATACATGTACATTATTGAGCAGTGCATGCATGCACACACACATTCAGTACAGGTTAACAAAAATGGATAGTGGAATAGGACCATTATTATTATTATTTTTTATTTTAACACACTGGCCATCTCCCACCAGGGTAGGGCAACTTTCACCATCTCTCAGTTCATCACTGTCTGGCCAGAGGAGTGCCGATACTATAGAACAGATACCCCTCCATATTGTAAATATCCCCACCTCTCCTTCAGAGTGAAGGCACTGTGATTGCTCCAGGACTCAAGTCCTGGAGAAATCACTAAACATATAGTAGTCATATACTGTAAACAGTGCATGGAGAATGGGAGGAAATCAGGTTTGACCCAAGGAAGGGGAGGGTAGCCCCCCAACTCTTCAGATAACTTACATCAAGGCACTCTCCTTGAAGGGGTAAGAAGAGTGCCTTGGTGCAAGTCAAGCCTATTGCAGTGTTTCTGTTTTTTTTTATATTTTAAAATGCAGTGATATACATATGTAATTTTGATATTCTTAAAGGAATGATTCACCAGTGCAGTGTTTCTGTTTTTTTTTTTATATTTTAAAATGCAGTGATATATCTAATTTTGATATTCTTAAAGAAATGATTCACCAGTGGTTGATAGTCCAACCATCCCTACAACTTTACTAATGCTTGTCAAACCATGGTGAATGATGCTGTAACTGAAATACTAATAGTGAATGTTCCTGGTTTCTTTCAGATAAATAGATGCTAATGCATTCTTTGATTAAAGAGAATATTTTTACTATTAGGTTAGAAAAAAAAAAGGCTCCATCTCTATGAGAATCATTCAGTGCTACAAGATGAAAAACAACTGTATATCCAGTGTGGCAGCTATCAATATAGGAAATAAACAATGATATAGTTACATGTACAGTGGACCCCCGCATAACGATTACCTCCGAATGCGAACAATTATGTAAGTGTATTTATGTAAGTGCGTTTGTACGTGTATGTTTGGGGGTCTGAAATGGACTAATCTACTTCACAATATTCCTTATGGGAATAAATTCGGTCAGTACTGGCACCTGAACATACTTATGGAGTGAAAAAATATCGTTAACCAGGGGTCCACTGTATATGTAATCCTTCCAAGAAAAGGAACATTTGAATAATTTGTAAATTTTTTTTTTTTTTTCAACAAGTCGGCCGTCTCCCACCGAGGCAGGGTGACCCAAAAAAGAAAGAAAATCCCCAAAAAGAAAATGTACTTTCATCATCATTCAACACTTTCACCACACTCACACATTATCACTGCTTTTGCAGAGGTGCTCAGAATACAACAGTTTAGAAGCATATACATATAAAGATACACAACATATCCCTCCAAACTGCCAATATCCCAAACCCCTCCTTTAAAGTGCAGGCATTGTACTTCCCATTTCCAGGACTCAAGTCCGACTATATGAAAATAACCGGTTTCCCTGAATCCCTTCACTAAATATTACCCTGCTCACACTCCAACAGATCGTCAGGTCCCAAGTATCATTTGTCTCCATTCACTCCTATCTAACACGCTCATGCACGCTTGCTGGAAGTCCAAGCCCCCTTGCCCACAAAACCTCCTTTACCCCCTCTTTCCAACCCTTTCGAGGACGACCCCTACCCCTCCTTCCTTCCCCTATAGATTTATATGCTTTCCATGTCATTCTACTTTGATCCATTCTCTCTAAATGACCAAACCACCTCAACAACCCCTCTTCTGCCCTCTGACTAATGCTTTTATTAACTCCACACCTTCTCCTAATTTTCACACTCCGAATTTTCTGCATAATATTTACACCACACACTGCCCTTAGACAGGACATCTCCACTGCCTCCAACCATCTCCTCGCTGCTGCATTTACCACCCAAGCTTCACATCCATATAAGAGTGTTGGTACTACTATACTTTCATACATTCCCTTCTTTGCCTCCATAGATAATGTTTTTTGACTCCACATATACCTCAACGCACCACTCACCTTTTTTCCCTCATCAATTCTATGATTAATTTGTAAATGCATATTATTATCATCATCAAAAAGAAGTGCTAAACCTACAAGGGTCATACAGAGCAGCAGGGCAGGGAAGGGTGCAAGGGAATTTGGTAGCAAGAGGGAAAGGGATTATTAGGTCATGCAGTACAGGGGATAGTGCAGGGGTAGAGGGTAGCAAGAGATTGAGGTAGAAAGGGCTGTGAGGAGTGCTAGAGGCATCATCATAAGAGTTTGTGCAGTAAGTCAGTTGCTGTCAAAAAGTCAACAAGAGAGTCTGGGTTAAAGAAGGGTCCATCAGCAAGAAGGGAAGATAAAGTAAGGGCAGTAGAGCGGTGACAACATTGGAGGTAAATTCTGCATGTTCGATGACACAATGGGCAGTCTAACAGAATATGGCTAACAGAAACTGGAACCTGACAATTCTCACAGAGTGGAACAGGGCACCTCTCCATGAGATACTCGTGAGTAAGACGAGAATGGCTGATGCGAAGATGGGAGAGAGTAGTCTCCCAACCTCGATATTGATGACAAGATAATGGCCAGAACCTATACATGTACTTGGTTTCACAGAATGCAATTTGTTACGTAGCAGATCAGACAAATGTTGTTGCCAACGGGTGTGAAGGTGGTTAGCAATTACAGCAAAATAGTCTGCGCATGGAACACCTTGATATGAAACTGGGAGGTCATGTACAGCTGACCGCACAGCAGTGTCTGCCTGTTCATTGCCCAGTATGCCAACATGACCGTGGACCCAACAAAAAGCATCTTTATGCTTGCTAGAGATATGGTCTAACCAAAGCTGGATACGAAGAACCAGGGGATGAGGCATATAAAATTTTCGTATAGCCTATAAAGCACTAATGGAGTCTGAAACGACCACAAATAGATGCACAGGCATAGATGCAATATGGATAAATGCTATGAGAATGGAATACAATTCAGCCGTAAAAATGCTAGCCGAGGATAATAAATGCCCTCGCACGACGCTGTCCGGGAACACTGCTGCGAATCTGATGCTATCGGAAGACTTGGAATGAGTTTGGAAGTGGTTAAGAAAAAGAGAGCGAGAAGCCACCATAGGCAGTTGGGCTTTCGTGGATGGCAGTGGGAAAGAACAGACATGAACAGTTGGAATTTCTCAAGAGGGTAGGGAAAAGTTAGATGCTACATGAACATAGAAAGGTGGTAACTGAAGAGAAGACAAGAGCGAATGTAGGCGAAGAAAAAAGGGATGGAGTAAACGGGTGATGAACAAATAAAGAATGTCTGCTAACATCAGTGACTATCCTATACAGTGGACCCCCAAGTTTTGTGATTAATCCGTTCCAGAGAGCCTGCTGAAAGTCGAAATTGCCGAATGGCGAAACCATTTTCCCCATAAGAAATAATGGAAATAAAATTAATCCATTCCAGACACCCAAAAATATTAAAATAATTTTTTTTTTTTCAAATTAAATAAAGATTTACCTACTGAAAACAATGAGAAATCAAGTACATGCATATAAAAAATAATAATATTACACTTACCTTTACTGAAGACTTCTGGGTGGATGGAAGATGGGAGGGGATAGGAGGAAGGTGTACACTATTGTTGGGAAGGAGAATCTCCTTCCATTAGGACTTCAGGTATGAAGTCCTTATCTGGGGTTACTTCCCTTCTTTGTTTTTTAAAGACACTGGCACTGGGAACAACTTGAGTCACTGGAACCCTGTTGCACAAAATATCTGTCCAGAGAGCTCTGTTTCTGGCATTTCTTTAAGATTTGTCTGAAGTGGGACACAACACTGTCATTGTACATGATGCCAATACGGCCTGCAAGAGCTTTGTTAGGGTGAAGTTCATCCATAAATGTTTGCACTTCAGTCCACTTTGCACAAATGTCCTTAATCTTTGAAGAAGGCACCTTCCTCCATCTCACTTCCTCCTCCTCTGCAGCAGTTTCCTGAGCTGTGATCTCTTGCTGTTGCAGATGAAGCTCTTGCAGCTCTTCAGTGGTTAGCTCTTCCCTGTGGTCCTCCACCAACTCTTCCACATCCTCACCACTCGCCTCCAACTCCAGGGACATCCCCAATGCCACAATAAATTCCACAACTGGCATAGGCTTCTTAGGGTCAGCCCCAAACCCTTCAAAATCCCTCTCTTCTACACATTCTGGCCACAATTTTCTCCAAGCAGAGTTCAAAGTCATTTTCTTTACAAGATTGTCATGCAACTGCCTTGCCTTTTCACATATTATCGACTGCGTAACACTATCTCCTGCTGTTTTTCGGTAATCCACACCAACAATAACCTCTCCACTTCTTCGAGGATTTGTGATCTCCTTTTTGTCAGCATATCTACCCCTTTTGCAACAACAGCACACTTTATTTCCTTTTCTTTTCGCCATGATCGAAGTGATGGTTGAATGGGGTTTGCCATACATCCTAGCAAGCTCTGTAACACGCACTCCACTCTCATATTTTTCAATGATTTCCTTCTTGAATTCGATCGTGTTCCTCACTTTCTTTACCAAAGGGCTTGCACTAGCTTTCCTTGGGCCCATGGTGACTTATTTAGCAGTTGCAATCACAAAAAACAATGGGTTATTACGTATGAACCCGTGGGGTGATGGTCACGTGTTGGTAAACAATGACACACTCAGCGTGAATGGCGTGGGAGACTGGCTTTATGTGCGCAGTGACAGGTGGACGGGTACCGGACGGCTGCCGAATCACGAAACGCAAGGCCAAATTTTGCCAAAAAAAACTTGCCGAAAGTCTGATTTCATGAAAGTTGATGCCGCCAAAACTCCGGGGTCCACTGTATATGGAAGGATTGCAGAGGTCATGAGAGTGAACATAATAGCGAAGGCAATGAGCATCATGGCGATCGGTGTAGGATGGAATATTCGCCTCTACAGAGGCTTTCAACTGGTGAAGAGCGAAAAGCACCGAAGCATAAACCTAATCCCTTATGATGGATGGGATCACGGCCAGAAAGAGTTGCAGGAGAGGCCGCTGAATATATCCGGTCGCCATAATTGAGTTTTGATAAAATTAGGGCTGAATGTATTCGAAGGAGAGTTCTACGATTAGCCTCCCGTGAAAGATGAGCAAGGGTTTTAAGGAGGTACAGCTGGCTATGACAGTTGCTTTCAGAGAGGTAATGCGAGGTTTCCAGAATAACCGACGGTCAGACAGAAGACCGAGAAACCTGATCATATCACGTTCTGGGAGATGCAAATCCATATAGGTACAATGGATTATCAGAGACGACAGAATATCTAGTGAAAGTAATTTGGATCTGTGCTGTTTTCCTGAATTGAGCCAGAATACCTTCCATCCCCTCTCCAGGTGTGTTGTATAAGTATAATTCTATGGGTTTAGCACTTCCCCATGATTATAATAATAATAATAATAATAATAATAATAATAATAATAATAATAATAATAATAATAATAATAATAGAGTGATGACCAAATATTAGATGGAAGAATAGATACCAGATCATTTATAGCAAGGAGAAAAAGTTTGGTGCTCAGAACACATCCCTGGGGGACATCTTCAGCTTGGACAAAGTCAGGGGAAAGCACATCATTAACTCGAACATGGAAATGTCTCTTAGTTAAGAAGTTCTTAAGGAAAAATATTAGATTTCCTTGGAGGCCTAAAGAGTGGGCCTGGGCCAAGATGTTATATCTCCAAGTTGTGTCATATACCTTCTCAAGGTCAAAAAAGATGGCGATAACCGAGTGGTTAGTTGGCGAAGGCATTACGAACATACATATCCAAGCGAAGAAAGGGGTCAAGAGTAGAACGGCCCTTACGAAAGCCATATTGACTAGTGGAGAGGCTATTGTCTCTCTAAATACCACATCAAATGTCTATTTACCAGACATTCCATCACCCTGCAAACTGCACTGGTAAGAGCAATGGGACGATAGTGGGAGGCATCATGTCCCTTAGTAATTGGTTTGCAGAAAGGGAGAATAATAGCAGATTTCCACAGCTGGGGAAGAACTCCTTGCAACCAAATAAGATAAGAGAGTTGTAAGAGGACAGAAAGGGCTGACTGATATAAATGCTGTAACATAAGAATATGAATGCTGTCAGGCCCTGCTGCTGATGATCGGCAATCGGAGAATGCTGCCTCTCATTCCAGAAGTGTAAAAGGCACATTATAAGATTCTTCTCTGACAGAAGAAAAGTTTAAGGGCTCTAACTTTCTGGCAGACTTGGAGGAAAGAAACGAGGGGCATAGGTGGAGCCCATGATAGATACGGACAAGATGATTACCAATTTCGGTGGCAACGTCAAAAGGGTTTGCTAGATACAAAGAACAGAAGATTGTATACCCCTTATTCAAGTGGATGCAGGCTGCAGTGTAATGCAGCGAAGTATGAACAAAGAGCTGATGGTATGGAATACTGGTGCATAAAAGAAATGCACTTTCATTAAAGGTTCCATCGGGAAAAGGATCTGATGAATATAATAAAACAGCCTGAAATGGGATGGATAACTGCAGAGCATAATTTGGGTTCTTGTAAACAAACACAAATGGGAAAACTGGGAGAGCAAAACTTGAAGCTCACCCCAGTTACCTCTGAGGCCACAGATATTCCACTGCAAATAAGCAATGGTTTGCAAAGAGAAAGGTACAAGAAATCTGAAGGCAACGGTATCTATGGACTAGAAGGATTAGAAAAGTACACGTGGAGGCAGCGGAAGACGCACAAGCAGCGAAGGATTGGGATACTGTGAAGAAAGGGGTTGTGCAGATGGAGAAGAGTGAAGAGGAGGGACAGGAGGTGGATCAGTGTCCATCAATGGTCTAGTTTCCTCAATATATTCAGAGATAGCTTCAAGTGTTTCAGAGGACAAGAACGTTGTATGTGGCACGATATTGGAAATGGAAGGAGGAGGATGAGTAAAGATCTGGGTGATGATGGAATTTACTAAAGTAAGGGGGGGTGAATGAAAGGTTAGAGGGAACTGGAGAAGAAACTTGGGAGGGGACAGGGGAGGAAGGTACTGTACAAGGAGGACGATGAACCTTCACACTCATAACAGAGCTAGGAAGAGGTAAAGAACCAGGTAGAGAGACTGGAAAGGATAAATATCCAGGCAGAAGAAGGGAAGGATGGGTTAAAGGATTTTTTAACAATGTGGATTTTTTGAACTTTGGAGAAGTAGAGGGGTGATGGGGAGGAGTTGTTGTACAAGGTCTTGTAGACACACAAACTTGAGAGAAGAGATGAGGCAAGAACAGAATGAGGTGGTGAGGTAGGGACCTCTGAGTCTAGGACTGCAAAAGAATTAGAGACAGTGGTGATTGTGGAAGGGGTGACCACAGAGGAGGCTGCGGAAGTTGGGACTTCAGAGGTGGGGGGTCGTTTAGTAACTCGAGAATAAGAAATACGGGGCAGTCTTCCCTGGAGTTGTAGGTGAGAGACTGCCATAGTATAAGGAAAGCCTTCTGCCTCTTTGAGACAATAGATTTCTCGCTCATTTAAGTAAACTTAGCAACGGCGAGAATAAGTTGGGTGAGCCTCATGACAGTTAAGGCAAGAGGGAGGTGGACTACAAGCTGTATTGGTATTATCGTCAGCACCACAGACTGGGCATTAGGCCATGGACCTACAATATTTTGCTGGATGACCAAAATGCCAGCAATTTCTACACTGTTGCTGTGTAGTGATCACCTTTCAAACTTGTAAATGGTGTCCTGCAATATAAACCAAGGACAGAAGCTCACGGTAGTCAAAAGTTAAGCGAGCTACATTGCAAGGGTATCATCTCTGCCTGTGGGGAGGGAGGATACAAGTGTCTACTTTGAAGATTGGGGGGTCTTGGAGTTCAAGCTGCTTCAAAATGTCACCACGTCTGGAAATTCTGTTGGAGAATGGTATGAGGTAGAATGACAGTACCACTACAGGAATTGAGAGAATGATGTTTTTCAGTAGTTACAGGAATAGAATCTATGGTTGTAAGGCTAGCACTCTGTACCGTGACGATGCATGCACCGCTCTCGAGAGCACAAAAGGATATCTCCCAACCAACATTGCGTAGGAACACCTTGCTAATGCTATAATCGGAAAGATAGGCAGGAGAAGTCAGCCGCAGAGTAAATAAGCTTAGTCCATTGTGTATTTTGAAACAGAGCGTAAGGGGAGTGAGTGTCGTGCTGGTCTTTTCTGGGCAGAATGAGAAGGAAGCGAAGGAGTATCATCATGTAACGGTCTTGGGCATTTAGGTGTGGGACCAGAGTTGGCCTGACGTGGGATGGGCAGGCGATTCAAAAATTGCTGCACCGTAGAGGAAGAAGCCGGAAGCATGGTCAACGAAGAGCAGAGGTCAGATGTATCAAAAAGAGTTAGGCAGAACCCCAGTACCTGGAGCGGGTGATGAAATGGCACCAGCAGGAGGTACAGGGGCATCAGAAATATCCAAAGAGTGGTTAAATAATGAGGTAGGGTCGGAACAAGGCTACCACACCTTGTTCCAACCCTACCTTATTGTTTTTTTTAGAAAAAAAAAGGGGGGTGGAATGTGGAGGGATAGCTCCTAGAAGGAATGAAAGGGCAGTAAATCCCCCTCCGTGTCCAAGAGGACCCCAGCATCGCAAGTAGTGCAGATGCAGCATGAAACCTGTGCCATACCCTACCCTTCATGTCAGTAAACCAGCAATCTGGGATAGCAACCTCACATCTACCGAGCCACCTCGGTGGACAAAAGAGAGGGCGGCCGGATACCTGCCACAAAGCATTCCTCCTTTGGCCACCACCCTCCGTAATCCAAAAGGCAGCTTCCAGAGGTACACCCGTCACCTGAAAGACACCCAAAGCCAACCCCTGGGAAACCGGAGAGGAAGTGTGACATCCCCAAGTGATCTAGATTCCATGGCAAACTACTCCACCACCACGGACCTCAACAGAATGGGATGGATCACGGTACCCTTCCCCAGCCTGTGGGAAGAATCCCAAAGGCTGAAAACAACAAGGGGATAGGGGAGGGATGGGAAGAGGAGGAAAGGGAAAGGGGGGCTTGGGAGGATGGGGTGGGGAAGGGGGGGATTGGGGGTAATTAGGTTCGGTCTGAGGAAGGAGACTGAAAGGTCTAATTCTTCAGATCAAGAGCCTCTTCAATGTGCCAAGAAGCCCCCTTGAAGAGGTGTGTAAATGCATAAAAATATTTATTGATACATTATAACTGACAAACTGTACACCTTTTTTTTTATAAATATTGTATAAAAAATATGTGATACAGTAATTGAGTATATTTGTAATGTAAATATACTGTAATTAACTTTTGTTTTATTATGTCTCTCTCTCTCTCTCTCTCTCTGTAAATTAAAATATATATTTATTATACATCCTAGTAGGTTAAAATTGGTTGTGTTAGGTTTCATTACCTTAGGTTTATTATTATAATTATAATCATAACTAAGCACAAAAATCATAAGGGTCATACAGCACTGTCTTAGCTTTAATAAATTTATGCTAAGTGGGTCATTTATTTATCACTATAATGTAAGCAGTATATTTCATAGTGGTACAGTATAAGAGCATAAAAAAATAGTAGTACTGCAGGCCTTCTGGCCCATCATAGGCAAGTCTTAACTCACACCCACTAACTTATTTTTAAAATTACACAAGGTTTTCACTTCAGTGAAGCTGTTTGGGAGTTTGTTCCACTCATCCACAACTATTATCAAACCAGTGTTTTTTTTTTTTTTTCAACAAGTCGGCCGTCTCCCACCGAGGCAGGGTGACCCAAAAAATATATTATATTCTTCCTAAATCTAATTTTTTTCGAACTCTAACCCATCGTTGCAAGTCCTGTCTTGGTTAGGTATTTTTAGCATGTTATTTACATTCCCTTTATTTATTCTTGTTTTCCATTTATACACATTAATTATATTCTCCCTAATTCTGTGCCATTCTAGAGAATGCAGATTCAGTGCTCCTGGTCTATCCTCGTAGAAAAGATTTCTGATACGTGGGATAAAATTTGTCATTCTTTTCTGTATATTTTCCAGAACAATTATGTCCATTCTAAAATATGGTGAGCAGAACTGTGCAACACAATCTAAATAAGACCTAACTAACGATATACAGAGCTGAAGAATAACCTGAGGACTCCTGTTATTTATACTTCTTAATATGAAGCCAAGAATTCTATTCACTTTATTCCAAACACTTGTGCATTGATGTGGCCACATACATCTCAAAGCTAATAAACTTGGGGTCAACATCAATTTACTCCTAAAACGAAAGCATTAATACAACATGACATTAGTGATTACCAAGGGTTTGTCATGCTGTTTCCTCTAGCTGGTGGCTGATTGAACTGGTGCTCCCACTAGGTATTAAGTGGTCCCTGACTTTAATACTTTTCTATACTGCCTAGGCCTATCAGGCCTCTGGTGCTAAATTTGAATGCAGGAGAAATAGTGCAATGAGCCATGTCTGGAGGGCTAGCAGTAATGCATAAATCTACAGTTTGACAGTTAAAGGGTTAAGCTTGTGTGGCTGATATTAATATGCACTACATCCTGCCCTTATATCTGCAGCTGAAAGTTATGTATGCTGTGCTACTAAACTGGTAAACTTAGAACCTACTAACTCTAATTCCTTGGATCAAGAGTTCTTGTGGTATTGTGCATTTACTGCATGCATATTACATGTTGCATCTTCAAGTCAAACATTATTATTAAGAGCCCAGCTCTACTCTTTTCATCACACAAGTCAAGAAGACATGTGACTAAAGAAAATAAGACAACACTTAAATCTGCCACTAACTAAATGTAAATTAAGTTTTTATCTTGTGCTGCTGTCACTGTTACATATAAAGCAAAAAATGGTAAAAAAGAACCCAGGATGGTTGCATGAAGTTTATATTTTTCAGTTGGTCATTTTCAATGTCATGTTTTGTAATTGCATTTCGGTTCCAGATTCAATTTTTCTTACCTACACAGAATTGTATTGTGTCACAACCTTTTGAGTTTTGTTTTTCCGCATGCTAAAATCTGCTCATAAGAAATCAGTGAGTTAGACTGATTGCTGCATGAACAAGCATTATTAATTTCACACAAAAAGCTGTTGCATGGCAACAATATTTTGTGAGTTCATGTGGGTAAATTATTATTACTGCATATTAAAAACAAGTGTCAAACCTATATGGAATAGACAGAGTAGAGGTGGTCAAGGTTGTAAGGGTTAGTGAAGGTGATAAATTAACAACATAGTTTGTGCAATAAGTTAGTCTACAGCAAAAGGTGGGATTTTTGGAAAAGGTTTTTACATTTGACAGGGAAGAGGGTGCCTTGATGTTGCTGAAGGCCTCTGGATCAAACTGGAGGTACCCCTTCCTTTCTCAGATCAAACCTGATTGCCTCTCACACTCCAGGTGCTATATGACCCTACATGTTCAGTGCTTTCCCATGATGATAATTTACTGCCTGAAGATTTTTCAGAAATGGCAGATAATTACAACAAGAGTATTTAGCCAGGACAATTAAAAAAAAAAAATTATCAGCTGGAACCATTTTCAAATACTGTATGGAAAATCTAGGGAACAAAAAACAAAAGTTATATAATTTTTCTTTTTAAGTACAAGTATATAATCTTGTAAAAGTACAGTGGTACCTCGGGATACAAACTTATTTCGTTCCAGAAGGCTGTTTGAGTGCTGATACCGAACGAATTTGTTCCCATAAGAAATAATGCAAGTTAATCTGTTTCAGACCCCCAAAAATACACTCACAAAAGCACTTACATAACTGTTCGTGTTTTGAGCTGTTTGTATCCTGAGGTACCACTGTATGTGATTTCTATTGCCAAGCCTCTTCATTAAAGTGTGAAACTGATCTATGAACACTGACATTATTTACTAACATTTTTTGTTTATTTATAGTTCTACATAATATTTAAATATATTAGGCCATGGTGTTTAAAAACATCTAGTGATGGGGATGAATGCATTCCTATGATTAACCATTTTTTCTAAATCTGGTAGAGTTCATGTTTGTATTTTGTAAAAATACATAACTTAGTATGTATATAATTCAAATTCTGTTATTGTTGTTATTGTTATCATCATTATTAGTCATGTAAAACGTAATAATTGTTTATGACTGCTGCTCGACCTATTCCAGCCAGTAATTATAATTTGAACTGCAAATATTAAGTTGGTTCTGCAGTTGAAATTATACTTTGTTGTGCAAATGATAAAAAAAAAAAAAAAGTTACCAAACCAAACAAAACTCACTGATGTGGGGCATTGATTACCAAGACATGCTGTGAAACCAAAATTAATTTACCAAACTATTTTTGCTAAGATCTCTCAAAATAACAATTTGCACAAGACATACTAATTCTGTGCAGTACATACAGTGTATAATTCAGTAATGTAAAATGTAATCTAATACCCAAATTCCACCAAGTAGTAGTTGGTAACCTTAGCCAAAAACATGAAAATGGCATAGGGCATTCAGTGCTAAACTGAAAACTTGTTGTTTTAAAATTACAAAATAAGATTGTGAGTACCTTTTATAAACCTAGTACATTTGCCAGTAAAAGCACTGCATTTGTACACTTTGATCAAGAGACTTGATAGATATATAATTACTGGGTTATGTACAACTTTAAATGTAGTATACAATCATCTTCCCCATCCCTCCAAAGTTTGTGAATGAAACATCTAATATTTATAAGGTGAGGAAAAAATCTAGCATGAACTAATAGAAAAATAAAGACATTTTATATAACATTTTTATCTAGAAATATTTTGTAGATTATTTAAAAAAATGCATAGATGGAAAGCAATGAATTAAGGAAAAGTTGGCAACTTTTTTCACAATTTTGTAGGTTAATTTACAATTAACCAACAGATTCAGCTGCACTCATTAAAGCATGATAAACTAAGCTAGTTTCCTTAGTTTAATTTATTTACAACATTTTCTCATTTAATCATAATAATAAATACATTCTAAACCATATCATTACTATAAATGCCCAGAATATCTACTCTTTGGTTTCCATTTTGTGGATTGCATAAGTGTGTAATTAATGTAAGTGCAGTGTTGTTCAGTCAGGAATGGAACATAGAAAGCCCGGAGTAATCTGTGGGACCTGAAAGAAAACACTGACTATTACAGAATGAAGACAATTTTTTTTTAAATTGGTATTCTAAAAGAAAAGACTATTTTTAGTATTGTTTGTTTAATAGAAAATATGCATCATTGCTGAGCTATTTTCATGAAATTATTTTTTTTCCCCTTGCTGTATAACAATTAAGCAGGCAATATCAGTGACTAATATCAAGGTTATTTACCTGGCAGCATCCATGAAAGGTACTGTGTGTAATATGGTCCACTCGGAGGCGTGTTTTGAGTAACGAGGCTCCCGTGCTGTTTCCTCCTCTCTGTCCAAGTCTATCAGAAAATGGCAGGTGCTCAGCAATACCTGTAGAACAAAAAACTGTGGCAGAAGAAATTGAAAGTACAATACAGCAGGGCCCCGCTTTACGGCGTTCTGCTAATACGGACATTTCAAATTATGACCAAAACTCTAATACGGTCACTGCACACCACCCAGTTTGTTTACATTCTCCATGGGCACAGTACTCCATTATGTCTGGAAGCTTCCCAAAATTTCAAGTGTTTTAGAGTTATTTCATATTTTATATATACGTACTCTGATAATTATACTTATGTGTACCTGTACCTAAGTAAACTTACATACTGTGCAGGCATGCAGGTATACATTACAATCACTAAGAGTGTCTTATTAGTCGCAAAAATGCCATATTAACCCCTTAACTGTTCAAATGCAGATCTACATTCTTACCACTAGAGCTTCAAACGTAGATTAACATTTTATTGTTCCTGCCTCCAAATTTGGCACAATTAGCCTGAGATGCCTGATCAGTACAGAATGGGTCTTAACATTAGGTGTGTGTAGTATTGAAGAAAATCTGGGACCACTTATTACCTTGTGGGAGAACCAGTTCAATTGAGCATCAGCTAGAGCAAACATTGTGGCAAACACCAGAGATTCATTGATATTATGTCATATTAACACTCCCCTTTTAAGAGGAAAGTGATGTTGAACCTGAGTTTAGTGGCTTTGAGATGGATGTGGCCACAAGTGGTCGAGGAAATATAAAAAAAACCTCGATAATAACACATGCAACATTTGTGCAACATCTTTTCAATTTTGATACCACTGGCAGTGTCATCCTGCCAGAATGTCCTATAACCTATGCCTTAAGTAAAGAGAAACAATTCTGGAACATGTGTAATACGTGTTCAGCTGGCTGGCTGGCTGATTGGCTGCCTCTATCTCCGTCCGTCTGTCTGTGTCTATCTCTATCTGTCTGTCTCACAGGTACACAAATACAATTATACATAGTGTAAATTACCTACGATAACCAAAAAAATCCAAACAGTGCTATACTGTGCTTGTAGATATAAGGTGTAATAAGCATGACTGGCAAGTAAGTTGCATTTTCACTTGTTCAGGAATCAGATGTGACAACTCTTCATTGTGTGTAATACCTGTTAGTTCATGAGCGGCTCTCTCTCAGACACAGAAAGAGAGACAGGAAGACAGATAGAAAGAGATAAGCAGAGACAAACAGAGACATGTTTATGTGACAGTGAAAACAAATAAAACCAAGGTAGTGCATGATCATCAAATGTCACTCCACTGCTGCACTGTCAGCAGTAGAGTGATACTCGTCTTACACTGTGCTTCAAGGGGTTTCATATACAGTAGACCGTCATTTAGCAAGAGTTTATTTGGCACAATTTGGGTATAGCACGATTGAAGAATTATGGCACAATTTTATGTAACACGTCGTAAAATTAATTTAACACAGTTCAGTCTGCGGGAAGGAAAAAAAAAATTCCTTTTTTCTCAAGCAGCTGCCTTGTTGCGGATCAGTGGAAGAGACCTCCCACCATCCCCTGCCACCCCCTGACACCACCCCACCATCCCAGCATTTGTACTTCAGGAATGTAACCCTATTTTTCCCATAAGTAAAAGGGTATATCAACAACATTTCTACAAGTGGCAGGACTCCATGTTGCCGTCAGGTGAGCATGCAGCACCAACTTCACAGTCTTATATCTCGGTAAGTAATGACTACAGTGGACCCCCGGTTCGCGATATTAATCCATTCCTGAGAGCTCATTGTAAACCAAAATTATCGGAAAGCGAATCAATTTTCCCCATAAGAAATAATGGAAATCAAATTAATCTGTACAAGACACCCAAAAGTATGAACAAAAAACTTTTACCACATGAAATATTACGTTTAATGCAATAGAATAATTACAATAACAATACCAATAGAATAATAACAATATAATAATTGACACTTACCTTTAATGAAGATCCGGTGATGTTTGATGGGATGGGAGGAGGGGAGTGTGTTGAACCTATTGTTTAGAAGGAGAATCCCCCTCCATTAGGACTTAAGGTAGCTTTTCCTCCTGAGTAATGTAGGTCCTGTTTGGCAATTTCTTCCAAAACAGGCCTGTTTTGTCACAATTAAACACTTGTTCAGGTTTCAATCCTTCAGCCTCTATGTACTCCTTGAATTCATGCACATATTTATGGAGGAAGAAGAAAATTGTCAAAGTGGGAAGTCTGAATGTGCGTGGATGTTGTGCAAATGATAAGAAAGAGATGATTGTGGATGTTATGAATGAGAAGAACCTGGATGTCCTGGCTTTAAGTGAAACAAAGCTGAAGGGGGTGGGAGAGTTTCAATGGAGAGGAATAAATGGGATTAGGTCAGGGGTTTCAAATAGAGTTAGAGCTAAAGAAGGAGTAGCAATAATGTTGAAGGATAAGCTATGGCAGGAAAAGAGGGACTACAAATGTATAAATTCAAGGATTATGTGGAGTAAAATAAAGATTGGATGTGAAAAGTGGGTTATAGTAAGCGTGTATGCACCTGGAGAAGAGAGAAGTGTAGAGGAGAGAGAGAGATTCTGGAAATGTTGAGTGAATGCGTGGGGAGTTTTGAATCAAGTGTGAGAGTAATGGTGGTTGGGGATTTCAATGCTAAAGTGGGTAAAAATGTTATGGAGGGAGTAGTAGGTAAATTTGGGGTGCCAGGGGTAAATGTAAATGGGGAGCCTTTAATTGAGCTATGTGTAGAAAGAAATTTGGTAATAAGTAATACATATTTTATGAAAAAGAGGATAAATAAATATACAAGGTATGATGTAGCACGTAATGAAAGTAGTTTGTTAGATTATGTATTGGTGGATAAAAGGTTGATGGGTAGGCTCCAGGATGTACATGTTTATAGAGGGGCAACTGATATATCGGATCATTATTTAGTTGTAGCTACAGTTAGAGTAAGAGGTAGATGGGAAAAGAGGAAGGTGGCAACAACAAGTAAGAGGGAGGTGAAAGTGTATAAACTAAGGGAGGAGGAAGTTCGGGCGAGATATAAGCGACTGTTGGCAGAAAGGTGGGCTAGTGCAAAGATGAGTAGTGGGGGGGTTGAAGAGGGTTGGAATAGTTTTTAAAATGCAGTATTAGAATGTGGGGCAGAAGTTTGTGGTTATAGGAGGGTGGGGGCAGGAGGAAAGAGGAGTGATTGGTGGAATGATGAAGTAAAGGGTGTGATAAAAGAGAAAAAGGTAGCTTACGAGAGGTTTTTACAAAGCAGAAGTGTTATAAGAAGAGCAGAGTATATGGAGAGTAAAAGAAAGGTGAAGAGAGTGGTGAGAGAGTGCAAAAGGAGAGCAGATGAAAGAGTGGGAGAGGCACTGTCAAGAAATTTTAATGAAAATTTTGGAGTGAGTTAAACAAGTTAAGAAAGCCTAGGGAAAGTATGGATTTGTCAGTTAAAAACAGAGTAGGGGAGTTAGTAGATGGGGAGAGGGAGGTATTAGGTAGATGGCGAGAATATTTTGAGGAACTTTTAAATGTTAAGGAAGAAAGGGAGGCGGTAATTTCATGCACTGGCCAGGGAGGTATACCATCTTTTAGGAGTGAAGAAGAGCAGAATGTAAGTGTGGTGGAGGTACGTGAGGCATTACGTAGAATGAAAGGGGGTAAAGCAGCTGGAACTGATGGGATCATGACAGAAATGTTAAAAGCAGGGGGGGATATAGTGTTGGAGTGGTTGGTACTTTTGTTTAATAAATGTATGAAAGAGGGGAAGGTACCTAGGGATTGGCGGAGAGCATGTATAGTCCCTTTATATAAAGGGAAAGGGGACAAAAGAGATTGTAAAAATTATAGAGGAATAAGTTTACTGAGTATACCAGGAAAAGTATACGGTAGGGTTATAATTGAAAGAATTAGAGGTAAGACAGAATGTAGAATTGCGGACGAGCAAGGAGGCTTCAGAGTGGGTAGGGGATGTGTAGATCAAGTGTTTACATTGAAGCATATATGTCAACAGTATTTAGATAAAGGTAGGGAAGTTTTTATTGCATTTATGGATTTAGAAAAGGCATATGATAGAGTGGATAGAGGAGCAATGTGGCAGATGTTGCAAGTATATGGAATAGGTGGTAAGTTACTAAATGCTGTAAAGAGCTTTTATGAGGATAGTGAGGCTCAGGTTAGGTGTGTAGAAGAGAGGGAGAATACTTCCCGGTAAAAGTAGGTCTTAGACAGGGATGTGTAATGTCACCATGGTTGTTTAATATATTTATAGAGGGGGTTGTAAAAGAAGTAAATGCTAGGGTGTTCGGGAGAGGGGTGGGATTAAATTATGGGGAATCAAATTCAAAATGGGAATTGACACAGTTACTTTTTGCTGATGATACTGTGCTTATGGGAGATTCTAAAGAAAAATTGCAAAGGTTAGTGGATGAGTTTGAGAATGTGTGTAAAGGTAGAAAGTTGAAAGTGAACATAGAAAAGAGTAAGGTGATGAGGGTATCAAATGATTTAGATAAAGAAAAATTGGATATCAAATTGGGGAGGAGGAGTATGGAAGAAGTGAATGTTTTCAGATACTTGGGAGTTGACGTGTCGGCGGATGGATTTATGAAGGATGAGGTTAATCATAGAATTGATGATGGAAAAAAGGTGAGTGGTGCGTTGAGGTATATGTGGAGTCAAAAAACGTTATCTATGGAGGCAAAGAAGGGAATGTATGAAAGTATAGTAGTACCAACACTCTTACATGGATGTGAAGCTTGGGTGGTAAATGCAGCAGCGAGGAGACGGTTGGAGGCAGTGGAGATGTCTTGTCTAAGGGCAATGTGTGGTGTAAATATTATGCAGAAAATTCGGAGTTTGGAAATTAGGAGAAGGTGTGGAGTTAATAAAAGCATTAGTCAGAGGGCAGAAGAGGGGTTGAGGTGGTTTGGTCATTTAGAGAGAATGGATCAAAGTAGAATGACATGGAAAGCATATAAATCTATAGGGGAAGGAAAGAGGGGTAGGGGTCGTCCTCGAAAGGGTTGGAAAGAGGGGGTAAAGGA